ACATGTTCACATTTTGTTTACAGTATATATCTTAAAGAATTCTTTAAAGAAATCAATGCATATGCAAACAGTCCAAAAGGGTATGAAATAAAACAGTCCAAAAGGGAACAAAATTAAAAAAAACTCTGCCTCTGAGTCTTTATAAAATAACTTCTAAATGGCTTGTTTTTAGTTTTCTATTCGTTATTTCCATAATGACAAATATGTTGTATGTTTAGAATAAGCTATACCACCCCAGATTTCGTCATGATAGGAACTGAATTTAGGGGGTGCTGAGAAATATCCCCAGTCTTTTTCTTATTTTATTTTTGAGACAGTCTTGATAAGTTGCTAAGGTTGGTCTTGAACTTGTGACCCTCCTGCTTCAGCCTCAAAAGTAGCTGGGATTACAGGCATGTACTACCACAGACTACTCAATTTTGTTTTTTTGAGATCGGTTGTGTTACATTGCCCAGGCTGGTTTTGATGTCCTGAGCTCCCATGATTATTCTGCTTCAGCTTCCCGGCTGGGACTACAGGTGCATACTGCCTTGGCAGGCTAAGACATCAGTTGATTTAAGTTTTAAGACATCAGTTGATTCTTACCTCTTTCCAATTTTTACTTATTTTTAATTCTCTTAGTGGTTAACATCTTAACATTAGATGTCAGGTTTAAGTCCAAGAAGCACAGAATATTCTGTAGTCTGGCAGTCTAATACCCCTGAGTATTTCTTATACTCCTAAGAGGATTGTGACTTTTGGATTATTTTGGCATTCTAAGGAAGAAACTGTATTTAGAATATAAATAGAAAGACTATTTTGACTCTGCAGTAGGTATGCCTAGGAAATGCAGCTTTAAGGTAGCCTAAAATACATTAAGGGTTTATTTTCTTTCTAAATACTAAAATCTACAAATGTGACAGAATGTTTTCATATGCTTAGATAGAAGCTGATACTAATTTATAAAGACTGTTATTCACATTAAAGGAAGATGTAAAATATTTTCAGTTCAAACAAATAAAATAAACTTTAAAACTGTTATACAGATACATGTTATTATAGCCACTTACTAGCTGTATGAAGTTAGGCAAGATCTGTTTGCCTCCACTTCAACTACGAAAATGGGGATACTAATGATATTTACCCACTATTAAGGGTATTATATAAATCAATTCACTTAAAGTGCTTGGAAGAGTGTCTTTATACATGATAACAATGACTATTAGTGGCCATTACTGTATTATGAAGTAATATTTGTCATTATTTAGCATTGTTGCCATTCAAGTGTCTTAGTGATACACGGAATTTGAACTGTTGCCAAGCTCATCCAGATCCAAAAAACCCTTCTTTGTGAGTGTTTTTACACAATTAGAATAATCTGGTACAGATATTTATATATTGTTTCTTTTGAAGAGGTTCTTATACTGATGCTACAGACACTACTAAAGTGAAACTGTTTTAAGCAACTGTGAAATTTCTTTAGTACTACAATTTCACGCACAGTTAGCTTAACTTCCATTTCATCCTTCTGTGTTTTATACAGCAGCAGCATTCTGTTTCTGACAGGTGAAAGCTTAAAATTTGCCAGTCTTTAAGAAAGCTGTTTAAGTTGACCTCTGAATTAGTCTGAAAATGCTTATAAAATTTCCATGCAAATGGAAAACTAAATATTTTGATACTTTATCAAAATTGAGAAACACTGTCACTTATTTAAAGACTTGTTTGGACCTTAAATAAAGCCAAATTGGGTAATGTATTACTCAGAAACAAAGTAATGGGAGCCATTCTAGCTTATGGTAATCTGAGAGATAAAGATGTGATAATTTTAAATAAAAGCTAGTAACAGAATTGTTAGCTACAAATGCAAAAAAGACCTGCACAAAGCTAGTTCAGCGTTTTATATAACTGATTCAATTTCTTATAGAATCTCTGTGAAGTATGCCTTCCTATCAGTATTTTCAAGATGACAAGAAAAGGCGTAGAGGTTTAAAAACTTGGGGCTCTCCAATCAAAGAGATTAAGAAGAAACTAGGTTTGGACACCTAATTGTCATGTAATTTTGGACAGATTATGCCCTAGTTTTCTTCTGTTGTTAAATAGGGGCAAAAGTATTCATATGACAGGCTTGTTATCAGGACTAAACATAGCATGAGTAAAATACTGAGCATGTAACCAGTGTAAAATAAAGTTCAAAGGTAAGCCAAAGTAATCATGACATCCAAACTGAAGATTCTGGAATAACTTGCTAGTTCAAAGTCACAAAGTCAGTAAGCAATGAAACTGAGAAAAAAATTCAACTACTTCAAAAACATAAAAAGAAGGAGATGAAGTTCTAACCAACTACTATATTACTTTTGTGGTCTACTTGGAGTACATGTAAATTTCAGGGCAGAGAGTAAAATACACACTGAAAAGCATGATACCACATACAGCTAGTGAGCTAAAATTAGTCCAACTATACAGTGGAGTGGAAAGTAGAGTGGACTCAACCACTTAGTCAAATTTACTGTAGTGTAGTAATATTGAAGATAAATACATTTATCACCTTTATATTCTCTGAAAAGACTTTTTCCACCAGACCTAGTGATTGAAACTAGGCAGTGCCGACTTGCATCCTAGGCCCTTAATATTTTGAGGTGGTCATCCCAGGCAATTGGGATTTCAGGCCTGTACCACCTCATCAGCCAAGAAGTAGATTGTAAAAAGAAGATAAAAGCCCTCTATTCAACCCCTGAACTTCTGAGCTACATTATAGAATGAGTAGTGGTACAACCTGCTGATCTGTTGTGCAGTTTTTACTGGTTCTGTGAATGATATCAAGATATTATAAGATTCAGATAAAAGAAACGGTATTTTCTCATTTTGTGCAGTGTCCTCTAAAAGAGTCACTTTTAAACCTTTATCTTACAGTGCATGCCTGTAATCCCAGCATTTGGGAAGCTGAGGCAGGAGGGCTGTTGCGAGTTTAAGACCAGCCTGGGTTACAAAGTGAGCTCAAGGCCAACCTGAACTGCACAGCGAGACTGTCTCAAAAAGAAAAAAATAAAATAAATAAATAAACTTTTATCTATCAAATGTTTCCTAAATCTCTGAAATCCATTACTAGGTAGCAGATTAAAAATATAAATAAGAATGTTAATAGGAAAATTAGAATTGTGATTAGTTTGATAGCTACATTTTTCCATAAAGTGACTTTCTATATTGCAAATAGCTTAATTTTTTGCTCTAATGCCATTTGTGGTTTCAAAAAATATCATGACTTTCACTTGATCTATTACTCTAAAAAGAGCTGAAAACCAATAATATAATTTTATTCTAAAGTGGCTTTAAAATGTGGGTCTCTTTCAACTTTTCAATACACTTGACCTAAGAAAATAAAGCTGCCTGGGTTAGTGTGCTTGCTTATTTACATGCATGAGGGCCTGGGTTTGATCCCAAGCACCGCAAAATGTGTAAGTAAATGAATGAGTGAGAGCTCCACTTTACCAAGGGCCTTGAAAAACTTTTTAGTATGAAACTTACTGTTTCAAAATGCAATCTTTCATACACATTTTACAATTTCATATAATATACAACAATGGCACAAAATTTGAAAGTTAACATTTGTAGTTTCCTTATTAATTTATGTCAATTGGCAGGATTCAAAATACTGAAATTTAGAATTATGTTTGCCATAATGTATATCAACATTTTTTCCAAATTAACAAGTAGTTACAAAGAGTAAAATTTTCCTATTACTAATTCTGTTATTATATTTCCTCTTGATTCAACTGATCCAGAATCTGGGAAGCAGAGAAACAGAAAATTTTCTTCCAAATTTTTGTCATTGGAAATGTAATAATTTATGATTTATCTCTCATGTATTTTTTTGCACTACTTGCCAATAGCAACATTATATTATCTGAGTTCTCTAAATTTTTTATTTTTCCTTGCTTTTTTCCAACACCAAACCACTGTCCTTACCACCAGCAGCAAATGTATTACCAAATATCTGTATATGCCAAGCACAATTCTAAGAAGTTGTATGCATATCACCCCAATTAACCCTCAACCTCCTTATGAGACAGGAACTATTACTATCCCCAAGATCTGCTTGTTTTTAAGAACTATAAAAATATACTTGGTGTTAGAAATAAACTTTAACTACCTAACCATAAGAAAAAAAAAATATCATTACCATTTGAAAGCTTTATACACTGTAACACCTCAAACAGAATGCAGCATGAGAATATTAAGTGAAAACTTAATAGATAGATACTAAAATTTTTTCTCATTCCAAAAACAGGTATCACTAATGCAGGGTTTTTTGTTTTGTTTTGCTGGTGGTGCTAGGATTGAGTGCAGGGCCATGCATGCATGTTCTAAGGTAGTGATCTACCAGTGAGCTATATCTGTAACTAATTTACTTTTATTTGGATAACATAAATTACCTTTTCAGGCTACTTTAAAATTTCCAGGAATTGAAGGGTTTTAAAGAAAAGATTTTAAAAATAATTAAATTCATTAGTTTTAACACGTTCAAAATATATTTTATAGAACAGAACTAATATCTTTGTATCACTTTTCAGATGTTAGAGATGAAATCAGGTATCCAGAATTAGTCATAACATGACTAATGTGTAAATTAACAGTGAGTAAATTAAAACAATGTGCAAATTAACAGCTGTTGTCCAAATTTAGTTATAATTTATTGTCTATAATTCTGTTCCTTGTCTTCTCATTATCAAACTTCATCATAAAACTAGCTTATTACAAATGAACAAAAGCATATAATAAATTATCCTTTGCCTCCATTTAGTGCCTTCTCATTCCTTGACAACCATGATAAAATGAGATCCTGGTAGGTATCCACCTTTTTCATTCCCATATGCTTTCACTCATCTGGTGGGCCAGGTAAGATCAGTTAATTGTAGTAAGAAATGTAAAAGCCAGAGTTTTCTTTTTACTTGAACTGATTAAGCAATTTACATTTTACCTAATCTCTAAGCAACTGAATACAACACATGTACCAGACACAGTACCTTTTTGGTTTCAAATTGTGCTTCTTCCTGACAGCATCCTCTGCAATCAGGATCCAGCTGAAGTAGGTTGAACTGTCCAAGAAGATCACAAGAGCTGCAGAGCAAGTTGCTAGAGAAGCCTAATTCTCTGCATGCTTCTGATGAAAACTCTGCCTTGAAGGCAGACACCTGAAAAGAAAAACGAGAAAAACCCCACAATTTTATATTTATGTTACAAAACATCCAAAAGAGAGATGAGCCTGAAGTCTAACACACTGCAGATGAGTTACTGAAATGTTTCATTTGGAGACAAATTCTTAAGTGCTTTTGAACTCTACAACCTTATAGGAGTCTTCAGTTCTTCTCTCCCATAGCTCTTAAAAATTCTGACATCTTTTAGTTTAGCAAAAAAGATATATCATTTCATCATATATATATGACATCTTTTATTAATATATAGCAATTTTGAAAAAGTAATTTCTTTGTAAGAAATTATAAGAATAATTTCCATTTCATTGTAAGGACTTAGAACCTATTTACATGGATTATGTAATAACATTTATCTGCAGACGTATTTTATAGGGGAAAGGCAGGAAAAGGTGGGGCAAGGGAAGGCAGGAAGACATAAGAAATTAAGCTTCTGGTTTAGGTACTAGCTTCCAATATTTACAAGACAAGTGATCCTGGGCAAGCTATCTTTCCTAAGCTGTAATTTCTTTACTGATTAAGCAAGAATCAATACTTTCTACATAATACAGGCTGCTATAAAGATTAAGTGAAGTTATATAAAGTAACCAATCAGAATGACTGACAAAAAAAGCAAGTTTTCAAAAATACTACCTCTTTCCTCAACCATTCCTTCATCTCTCAGCCAATGTGGTCTATCTCCCTTTGTCTACAGCCAAGCCCTCTACCACGTCATGAGGTCACCTCCCAAGTGAAACTGAGGTTGCACGCTATAAGCACGAATGCCCCTTGACGTGATGATGGCTCTCCCAGGACATCACAGAACCAGCCCTGAGACACCAATCAACGAGACCATGGCTTTACCAGTATAACTACCTACGTAGGCTTCCCAGCTAGAACACCCTGGATCCTTCTTGTCTTTTTGCTATAAAACCTCAAAGCTTCTGTCAGCTCCTTAAAGACAGATCTTGAACCCTTTATCTGTGTCTCCCAACATGGACATGCTTAGTTAATCTCCTTCCCCATTCTTCATCACTGCATGTTTCCTTGTTTGGAGTTATGAAGCAGATGGCCCAGTGTGGTTTGTTTAGGACTCCTGGAACCAGGGCTTTTGCTCCAAAACTCTAGTAACATAATCATGCAATTATACTATTTAGTTTTACTGAACACCTACTGATAGGTGGTATTCTGAAGTACGGAGACAACTTTATTCAAATGCCAGCAGCACAGTGCAACCCTACTTTTGAACTTCTCAATGGGGAAAATTATCACTTACCTCACATTTTAAAAAGGAGACAAAATACAGAAAATATCTATTATTCTGCCCTTTAAAAGGTGGGTACTTAATAAATGTTAGTATTATTCCCATCTTCCTCTGTGAAAACACATTTAAAAGCCACAGAACACTAAAAAAGAATTTTAATCATTATATTAGACAGGGAATTGAGGGTAAGCATAGGGGAAGGTACAAGGTATCTTTAGTTTCATGAATCAACGTTTTTCTTATTTAGCTGTTTCCTTCCCAAGAACATCCAGAGCATATGTTTAAGCAATTCACAGACAACAACTAAGTGCTAAAATGCAAGAATTCAAAATTATGAATTATACCTATCTTTTTACTGCCAAAATATTAAATTTTATAAGAAATACAAGCTTCTAAGGATGGAGTTTTGACTGGGAGAATCATCTAACTCCATTTGAACATAGGATTGACTAAGAGATCCCACTCCTTTATCTCTGTGTTTTATTCACTATTTTATTATACTTATTCACACACACACACACACACACACACACACACTAACTCTGAAGAAACTCATAGGTTTCTCACGTAATTCTGAAGATTTCAAGGCACACAAAATCAGATAGATGGGTTTACAGAATGAACCCCGTGATGATGAATACTAAAACATGGCCATTACAGGAAGCTCTTACCAAGCACCAGTTATTTTGCTAAGCATGTTACATTATCACTTCATTTAAACTTCCCCACTCTATGGACTAGGTATTATCCTCATTTTACAGAGAAGGAAACTAGAGTTTAGGACAGTTAAGATCATCTATCTAAGACTACACAACAAACAATAGCAATATTAAGATTCTAACCCAGGCCTACCCTCAAAATCCCTGCAATTGGAATAGTCTGCTCCACCAAAACGCATGTGGTGCCTACTGGGAGGTATGTAGTTCCATAGGAGTAGATCCTTTCTCACAGGAACAGGATAGCTGCTGCAGTATTTTAATCTTTCACAAGCTGCCACTTCTACTTTTGCTTTCTGCCATGAGTTGAAGTAGCCTGAGGCTCTCACAGATGCAGTGGCTTAGTCTGGGACCTTCCAGCTTCTAGAATTATATGCTAAAATAAACATCATTTCTTAAAATTACCCTGTCTCAGATATTCTGTTAGTGACAGAAAACAAAGGAAATCCCTAACCATCACTACTGACTACCATATTTCGCCAAAATCCATGATACATCATTACCGTATGAACTTCTAGTAACAAAAAAGCTGACAATTGTAATTGTGCCGCCCACTTCTTATGAGACACGTGGAGACACTGACCTGTGAAGAAAGGGGGTGGGATTGGGGTGTCTCAGAATCAATGATACACATATAGAACCTATGCTGATTTTCAGCACAGTGCCTTTCTGAAGGAGGAAATATATGTAATCTGAGTGAAGGATTGAATACCATTTAGTTCTGGGGAGTTTTAGTAAACAGCTCCCTTAGGATATACTCTAACATTACCTTCCTGATCCTTAGGTATACTCAGAATGCACTTTCAGATTAAGTCATTCAATATCCTCCAAGTTGTCATTCTTTGAAGTACTGATAACTATGTTCTGCCATTAATTTGAAATTACAGCTATTGAGAAGCATAGCCAAATGGGAAAAAACTCAACAACTTGTCTAGTGTAAGGGCTGAGGTATAAATTATCAAAGTATGAGCTGCATATCAAAGATACAATTTTATCCTTTATTTACAATAGTATCTCAGCCTCAGCTTGTTGAAACTGTTTCCTTACTCTTCTTTATTCATCTGTCAGGTTCCAAAGATTTGGCTAATTTTCACTTCTGCCAATCACTTCACTTGGTCTTTTTTTCCCCATGGGTCACCTGAAACAGGAGTTTTTCTAATTTCTTACTGTTTTTCCAACAATTCTTTATATTTTTAATTTTCTAGGTTTTGGCTTCTTTTTGTAAAAACACTTGTCGTTACAGAAAAAGGAGGAATAAACCTTAGGAACATTGAAACAGTTCAATAATGGTGACTTTTCTAGGATTTTCTGTTTTCTGAGGCATTTATATATTTTGGGTTGTGAGTAGGGTTCATCACCACTCTACAGAAACTGCAGATATCTGGGGACATTGATAGTGTAGAGTAACACAAAGGGACTGGGAGCCCATTTACACCTCAGAGGGATGAACAGATACATGTGAAGTGCAATGAAAACAAACAAAAGGGAAATGGTCCCTGTATTCCTTTTGGCTGCACTCTAACTGGTACGGGGGTAGGAGCAATGGAAGGACACAAACATAAAGCTATAATCTGGTTAAGATCATGGATCAGTGCAATGTAATATGAAGTCTGATGACAGACTATGCAAGGGAGAAATTACATTTGACTTTCCAAGTCTGGAAACTGAATGTGAGTTAAGCTCTGTGCTCTCTCTCAACACTACTTTACAGAGAAGAAATAAGGAAATCAAGGCCAAGAGTAAATTATCTGCCTTAGATTATAGTCAGTTTTTAAAAGTTAAAACTAGGGCTGGGGATATAGCTCAGTGGCATAAGTGCCTGCCTGGCAAGCTCAAGGTCCTGAGTTTGATTCCTGGTATCAAAAAAAAAAAAAAAAAAAAGTTAAAACTGGAAATAGATTTCCTTAAAATTTGGTGTTCTTTTTACTCTAAGTTATATAACATCAGGAATTCAATGGGCAGAGTTTGAGAGATTGTGGAAGATGTGTATCTTTGAGAATATTTTTATGTGCAATAGTGTGTTGTGACTAATCAACGAGGGCAGTTTGGTGAACCCATGGCACATGTGGTACAGTAGGCCCCCACCCACCCACCCCTAATTTCTGGCTTCAGCAACTGGGAAGCTGGCAAAGCCAACCACTTAGCTTCAAAATATAAACAAAGACAACTCAGAGGGCAAAACAGCAAGTTGATACTTCTAAGGAGAGAAGTCTGTCGCCTAACTGAACAATAAACAGTAAGTGGACTGATTTCAGATATATTTAGGAAGCAAAATCAGTAAGATTTGGCAATTGCCTGAAGAGGGTATGTAAGTAAAAGAGACAAAGATGATAGCAAGTTTCTCACGTGGATTTTAAAATAGTCACTACATTAAGGACCTTAAATATCTCCTGTCCTGGTATGCACACTTTGCTATGTGATTCTGTCATTCCTCCCATGTAAAGATGGAGTGTACTTCCCTACCTCTGGTCTTGTGACTTGCTTTGACAAGTATTATACGGTGGAAGTTTTATACATGAGTCCCAGGGCAAGACCTTAAGAGGGATTGTAAGTTTTTGCTCTTTCGAAATACTGCCCCGAGACTGCCTGGAAAAGAAGTTGGTCTAGCCTAAAGAGGATGAGAGGTCACAGCAGACACTACCACTATGAGTGATGACGTCGGTAACTTTTTGGTTTAGCTGAACTGCTAGCTCAAATCAGTGCATAAATGAGGCCAAAGGAAATTAACAGAGGAACCGCTGCACTGACTCACAGAATGGTGTGATATTAAGCCACTAGGTTTTGGGGAGTGGTTACATCATCGAAGGCGACTGAAAGTTAAGAGATGGTGAAATTCGGAGAAGGAAGCTTTAAGTATTTCATATTATCCTCTTATGGTGGTAATAATGAATCCAAATTCGAAAGGGGTAATAAAGAACCCCTTAGAGTAGAAAGTTGAGGGAAGGATATTCTAGTAATTTCTAAAGCACGAAATGTGTGAGTAACAGTATTGCACTGGACTGTTACAGAAGCAACGGATCCATCAAGGCAGGAGAAACAAACAGGAAGAAGCTTTCAAATTCCGTGACAAAAACACATAGTAGACGTCTTTATAGAGACCTGTATAGTTCCTACTCCCTCCAAAAAGCCTTAGACAAATGAATTAAAGGTCGCCTAGAAGAAAACTTTTCAGCAGCCACAGCAGAAAGCAAATTCAAATAGGAAATGTACAAGCCCCCAAACAGTGCCTTTTCATAGCAATTCTTAGGAAGGGTTAATCAGGGTCTACTTGTTTTGTAGGTAGGAAACTGGGTCAAAATGAGGCTTTCTTCTTTCAAGGATTAAGAATTCATGTATTTTGCTAATGGAAAAACCTGAAATTTTAAAAACTTCGTTATACTGATGTGTGTGTAAATGAGAATGAGAAAGGATAAATAGGGATTGCTCTTCTGAGCCGAAGTTTTGAGCACTTTCCTCTAAGACTTGGGAGCCCTGTCATAAGGAGCAAGAGTTTGCATTTCTGTTCGCTCAGAAACACCCTTATTCCTTTCATAGCTTTATTGCCCCCTCGTGTAATTAACAAATCTCTTTCAGCTAAAGCTGTGTAAGAGAAAAATACCCAAGACAGCCTTAAGTCAGACTGTAGAAACTCTACCAGGAATTAAGCCACGTAGCAATCCGGCGGCAGCAGTCACTAAGGAAACCCAGCCCTCCCACCATTTCCAGGTGAGGGTCCCAAACACGAACTCGAACTACTGCTCCGTCGTTTTCATCGCCAATTCCTTCCACCCAAGCCAAGGAAGCCGCAGAGGTACCATACACTCACCGCGTGAAGCAGAGTCGCTAACAGCAACCGCAGGCCAAACGCCGGCGCAACCCAGCCCCCTGGTCCAGCCGCCATCTCTAACCGCTGCCGTAAATCTCTGGCCGACCAGAGGACCCCTCCGCCGGGGGCGTCCACTCCAGAGCCTGATCCGATACTGGCCACTAAAGGACATTGCTATCAAATTCCTTATTCTGAGAAGATGAGCATTAACTAAGGGGGTATGGAAGTTTAAAGATGATCAAGGTAACGACGGTGTCCAGGTGATTTCAATTTCCTAAGTCAGGCACTTTCCTAAACTCCCCATTTCTGTTCTCTTGAGGGCTCCTGCCTTCCAATCACGACATTTAGTCCCGCAGCCAAGAAGCCCCGCCTTCTTCAGGTTCAGCCCTGCCTCCTCCTCCGTGCTATCCAATCGTGTGCCGCTTTGGTTGAGCCTGTGGCCGAAGAACCCAACCGTAAATCGAACCGTGAGCGAAAGGACGGGGTTCATTCCGGCCAATGAGCACAATCGAACGGGAGGAGGAGGTGGAGCCCGCGGTTGCCGAGCAGCGTACGTAGATGCGTGCGCGTGGTGGTGGAGGGGGATGGGCGAGGATGGGAGGGGGCGGGGCTGAGGGCGGCGCAGCCGCAGCCGCAGCGCTGGTAGAGAAGCGCGCGGTGGTGAGCGGGGAGGGAGGGAAGGAAGGAAGAGGCAGGCAGGCAGGCTGGCAGGCAGGCTGGCGGGCGCGGGGGTCTGGGACTGAAGCAGTAGAGGCGGGCGAGAACCCGGCCGCCGCCTCGCGCTGGTGCTGCGCCGGCTTTCGGAGCGGCGGCCGCTCAGTGCGCGGAGGAG